GGGGATTCCTTTATCGTAGAACAATTTTCTTATATATCTGCCCAACATGTTTCTCGTACCTTTCACCATGCCTTTGAGGATCATCTATTCTGACTTAGGCTTTGAGAGAAATGGGTCTATACCACCATGACCTACAATACTGGCACTCCTAAGTATGCTAGAAACAATTTCTTCAACGTCTGATTCCTCTTGATACATATTGCCACTACACATATATTTGACACAAAAACATTTATAATGATATAGTCATTCACAATGCTACAAATAAAATGTACACTGATATAGTCGGCACAATCCCAACTTGATTGAACTGATCACAAATATTCATACATCTTAATTACAAATATGCAAGATAATATAATAAAAAAAACAAGCTCCAAACATGGCTACAACTCAATTATCAAGAACATACATTTTTTGCATTAAAAATTTAATAATAAAATTGAAAATTGCAAGATAATATAATTATCATATATGCCACGATTTTTTTATAGTGATATTCACTTTAATTCCTCAGGATAATACAGTTTAACAACATGTATTTTTTGCATTAAAAATTTTAAAATTTTAAAATAAATTTTTAATGCAAAACTGCATTAAAAATATAATACAGTTTAACAACATGTATTTGTTAATGTATTTTTTTGCATTAACAACAAATTAAAAAATACAGTTTTGCATTAAAAATATAATAACATGCTACGATTGTTTTACAATGATATTCACTTTAATTCCTCATGATAATATAGTTTAACAACATGTATTTTTTGCATTAAAAATTTAAAAAATTAAAAATTAATTTTTAATGCAAAACTGCATTAAAAATATAATACAATTTAACAACATATATTTGTTAATGTATTTTTTTGCATTAACAAGAAATTGAAAAATACAGTTTTTCATTAAAAATATAATAACATATCACGATTTTTTACAATGATATTCACTTTAATTCCTCATGATAATACAGTTTAACAACATGTATTTTTTGCATTAAAAATTTAAAAAATTAAAAATATTTTTTTAATGCAAAACTGCATTAAAAATATAATACAGTTTAATAGCATGTATTTGTTAATGTATTTTTTTGCATTAACAACAATTAAAAAATACAGTTTTGCATTAAAAATATAATAACATGCCACGATTTTTTTACAATGATATTCACTTTAATTCCTCATGATAATACAGTTTAACAACATGTATTTTTTGCATTAAAAATTAAAAATAATTTTTTAATGCAAAACTGCATTAAAAATATAATACAGTTTAACAGCATGTATTTGTTAATGTATTTTTTTGCATTAACAAAAAATTAAAAAATACAGTTTTGCATTAAAAATATAATAAAATGTACTTTTTTTGCATAAATAATCTATCAACATGCAATTTTTTGAAATAGAAATTTAACAATAAAAATTAAAAATATTGTTTAATTCCTAATGATAATCAAAAACAATTTTTCGAAAAATCATGATTTCTCAAAAAAATTGATCATGAATAAAAAAAAAAAAAAAACCCACTTCTTTACAAACC